TGCCCCTCCTTTTTTCCAACTCTTCTTGCACCAATATCTCGGGTTTTTTGACCAATATTAAATATACTTTTTCTTCTTTTTTAATCTGATTTGTTGACCCTGTTCTCAACAGATGACAATTGTGGTGGTTCAGTCTAATTTTTAGGAATTGGTAAAAAAAAGAAAAAAAATGTAGATGTCCCAATTTTTCCAAAAGAAAACTGACCGAAAATGAAACAAAAAGAAAAAAAAAACAACAACGATGTTTAAACATCATCAAAACATCTGATCAGTACCAAAGCAGCAGTAGCAGCAACAGCAACAACATCAGGCATCTGCATCAGCATCAGCATCAGCATCAGCATCAGTAGCAGTAGCAGTAGCAGTAGCAGTAGCAGTAGCAATAAGTAACGATGTTTCGTACTGTTCCCATCGTCGTTGTCATCATCGTTATTAATAATACTGGTAAATTGTTTCTTTTTTTTTTTTAATTTACACATTTATTCAGCTTTCTTTCTTCTAACAAATTTAATCTGTAAAGTCACTTTGTTAATAGTGCAATTTTTTTTGCAAGAAAAAAGAAGCGATATTTTAAAGTCTTCAATTCTTTTTTTTTTTTCTCGTTATATATTAAAGTGTTTATCACAGTCAAATTGATAGCAGTCATTTGAAACATTTGAAAAAAAAGAAAAAAAAAAGATAAACTGATTGCAATTAGAAAAAATTTTCCTTTTTTTTGTCTTATTTGGCTGTCAATCATATAATACTGTCAAAATTGAAAAAATGCATTTATATGCTGATTTTTTTTTTGCATCCATTATAATACTTCTGTTTTTTTTTTTGGTGGCAGTTATCGTTTATTAAAACTATTTTTTCTAACTTTCTATAATCTTTTTTTTTTTTTCAGTATATGCTGCCAAAAAAACACAGCAGCAGAGCGAATGCTTACAACAGGCGTTGAAACCGATTACAAAAATTGAAAAAACCTATGCATATTTGTTCAACAACTATGATAAGGTAATGCATTCTGAATCAGTGTCTGTAGTGGAAGGTAAAGGTAATGAATGCATTCTGAATCAGTGTCTATGCTGGGAAGTATCAGCTTTTCAAACTCCATCCTCACCTATCAACTAATTTCTCTTCTGTCACCTCTCCTCATCTTTCCCCTTTTCCTTCTCTCTCTCTCTCTCTTTCTCAGTTTTTTACGCAGAGAAACAGTTTAGGATGCGGCAGAAAAAACCTAACAGAGTTTTGTTTACCAAAGAAAAGCAAAACTTTTTCAACCTCTTTTATATTTCAATAATCAGATGGGATTATATCCCTTTTTAACAAATGTTTTGTTTTCAATGAAAAAAGAACAAATGACAGAAAAAAACAGTAGCAAATTAAAAGCATCAAAAAGAGTGCTTTTTTTTTGTATATATACTACAAATATAACATTTAACTTTGATTATAGGTCTGTGATCAGTTGGAAACTGCAGCATATCGGTCAAGAAAATGTAACCCAAATGAACAACGACAATTTTACTATAGCACAACATTTTATCGACTTATTTGTACATATTTTGAAGAAGGTATATAAGGAAAAAAACCTTTAAAACAATATTTAACTTGTTTGAATTTTTAATGTAACTATTCGGCAGTTTACTGAGCGTTGATAGTTCCGTAATTGACCAGCATATAAATATTGCTAAAATACTTTGCTACAATTATATATATATATATTTTTTACTTATTTTATATTTTTTTTAATACATTTTGATATATTACAATTTGAATGTAACAAAATTAAAATTTTTTTATTTTTATCTAAGCACACACAAATGCAAATCTGAAAGCAATACTTTTTTGTTTTTCTTATTTAAACGGTTTATTTGATTCAGTTCAAAAAATTTTCGATTAAACATTGAATTATAGAAAATTTTTGGCCTTTTTTTTTGTTTTCTCACAGATTTCTTTTCATTATTTAAATATTTTCAATAAATTTTTTCAGAATTTGAAGATTATATGCCATGTTTGAAACAGGCTGCACCTGCTGTTGACCGAAGTAAGTTGATTTTTTATTCTATCCCATTTCAACTTCTTTAACACTTCTTCACCTCTTAAAATCATTGTTATAATTGTAAAAAAATTTTGGCTTGAAGATTCTGCTTAAATAGAGAGCAAATGTTTGAGTAAATTTTCAATAAAAAAAAAAAAA